TTGAGTTGAATTACTGAAATAAATGAACTTTTCCACGACATTCTAATTTATTGAGATGCACCTGTATATATTTTTGTAATTTAGTAGCATTGGTTAATATCGCATATATTTGTAAATATTGGATGTTTCATTTGCCATTTTCTCTCTTTGTAGCTGTAGACCATCATCTAATGTTCACTTCATGTTAATCTTAAAAAACACTGTTAAATGTAATTTTTAGCATATTTTAATTTGAATCCAAATTCACCTGTAGTCTTTAAAATTATTCATTTTCATTTATTTTTATTTAATTTAGACAACAATGTGACCTGGTCAATGTAAAAATGCATCGGTTAGTGGTCAGAATATGAAAATAATAATAAACTTGTCGATTTGTCGGGGCACCGGTTTTCATCTTATAAAAATAGTATAGACCTTTAGCTTCTTAAAGCACGTTTTGCCATGTTTAAAGTTGGATTATGTGTATTCTCTTCTGGTATTCTGCTATGAGTGCATATTGCAGAGCAGAATGATAGACCAGAGATTTGGGATGATATATAGGCACAAACTGTGTTAGGGTGTGGAGAACAGAAGGTCTGCCAGGCCATTTCCACCTCCAACTCCAACTCCAACTCCAACTAGGTCTAAACCATCCAACACTCATTTGTCTCTGCTGTATAAAGCACTTACAGGGAATTCAGTGTAATTAAGGCAATTGTGCTGTTGTGCTTAATTTGATATAAATTAATTTTAAGTTAGAGGTGCCCTTTGCAATATTCATTCTTTATTTAGCTTACGCATTTCTCAGTACTCTCTCAGAATGATAAAATCCTGTTGTGTTTTCCATTGACACCAAAGGGAGAGCAGTTTAGTCTAATGCCGTTCATTCGGATCCTTTGATCTTTGTAGTGCGTGACTTGTGGAAAAGCCTTTAAGAAGCTGTGGTCTTTACACGAACACAACAAGATTGTCCACGGATATGCTGAGAAGAAGTTCTCTTGTGAAATCTGTGAAAAGAAGTTCTACACCATGGCACATGTCCGGAAACACATGGTTGGTGAGTACTGGGTCATGTTGTCATTATTTACTCACTTTTATGTCTTTCCAAACATGTATGGCTTGCTCCTCGAAGTAACACAAAAAGGGATTTTTTTTTAGAAGAATATTCTAGACATTCTTTTTCAGTGTCGTGAAAGTGATTAAAGGAATAGTTCACCCCAAAATGAAATTTTGCTGAAAATATACTCACCCTCAGGTCATCCAACATGTAGATAAGTTTGTTTCTTCATCAGAACAGATTTGCATAAATTTAGCCTTACATCACTTGCTCACCAATGGACCAGTGAATGGGTGCCGTCAGAATGAGATTCCAAACAGCTGATAAAAACATCACAATAATCCACAAGTAATCCACACGACACCAGTCCGACAATTAACATCATATGAAACAAAAAGGTGCATGTTTGTAATAAATTCAATATTAAGACATTTTTTACTTCAAACCATAATATTGCTTTCTCCAGTGAGAAAATCTTCTCTTCTGAATCAGGAGAGACATATGCACAGATCAAGCAATGTTTACAAGCACAAACAGTCTCAAAAATTCTAAACCAATACGTTGGTGGATGTTGATGTGAGAGGAAAACAGAGGAATTTTTCACTGGAGGAAGCGTTATTATGGACTTGTGGACTTTGGCCAAAAGCGACAGTTTAAAGTCAAAACAACTTAAAGATGGATTTGTTTATTACAAACACACAGGTTTTCACTTCACAAGTTGTTAATTGATGGGCTGGATTCATGTGGATTATTGTGATGTTTTTATCAGCTGTTTTTTTGGACTCTCATTCTGACGGCACCCATTCACTTCAGAGGATCCATTGGTGAACAAATGAGGCAATATTAAATTGCCTCATAAAACAAACTCATCTACATTTTGGATGGCCTAAAGTTACATTTTTACTTTTGGATGAATTATTACTTTAAGATTTTAAATGACAAAAATGGCTTACATAGATTTATGTGAGAAAGAGAATTACATTTGAATAATTATTCGCTGAATGAATCACTCTTTTGAGTCGGATCTTTACGATGAATGAGTTTATCTAGTTCACAAAACCCGTATGAATGAACTGTCTCAACTCAATCCTCTCCTTTGCAGGCAACAGGCCACAGCTTTAAACTTTATCCTCATCCACATTTTGTATTACATTAACAAATGAACTCATGAATCCACTTTAAACATCAAAGAATACCACCGCCTGTCACAGCTAGGTGGCAGTCAAAATGCTGCAAAATACAGCAGCTCTGTCATATGCACAAAGACATATTGTTGTGTAAATTAACCTTCAGGCAGATGTAATACAGCGCACCTTGGCCCTCATACTGTACGGTACTTTCATCTCCTGAAGCTTGATCTTCCCAGAGCTTGGTCCAACACAATAGTGAAATACCCAGCTCTGTTTTGAGCAGTGGAAAAGAGCCGCTGTGACCTTGCTTTACCATCCAGAACAGACTGAGCCGAGGACAGAGCCTGTATTGTTTAATCTGCCCTGAGAGCCGAGAGGAAATATCTTATCTAGAAGTGCTTCCTTATACCAGAACCCACCCAGTTGTCCGCAGGGCAACAATTTACACTTACTCATCTGACACTGACAACTGAGTATGTGCAGTAATAATGTAGTGTCTTGTTATACACTAAACCGTGTCAAGCTAACGTTCTTGCTATCCTTAAAATTAACACTGAGGCATGTGATTAAGATGTAAAATTAAGTTTTAATACATTTTATTATCACCTAATTGTTACTATGAAAGCCTTCTGAGGCAAACAATATGATGTAATTTTTAAAACATGAATTTTGTTTGTTATTTTCTCGCAGCTCACACTAAGGACATGCCGTTCACTTGTGAAACGTGTGGGAAATCCTTCAAACGCAGCATGTCTCTTAAAGTGCACTCTCTTCAACACTCAGGAGAAAAGCCCTTCAAGTGTGAGGTGAGTTCAGTCATGCGGATTATCAGTTGTAGGCCTGAGAGATTCAGGTATTGCATTTTGTGTCTTTTTCTCAGAAAAAGTCAGTTTGCCTTCCGTTCACAAAAGTATCTTATCAGAGTAAAAGTCTCTTATGTTTACAAAGGCTGCATTTATTTGATCAAACATACAGTAAAAACAGTAATATTGTCAAATATTATTAGAATTTAAGCCATTTATAACCAATTTTTTCTATTATATATTTAGCAATGTAATCTATTCCTCTGATGGCAAAGTTGAAATTTTATCAGCCGTTACTCCAGTCTTCAGTGTCACATGATCCTTCAGAAATCATTCTAATGTGCTGATTTGCTTGCTGTGCTGCTTAACTTTTTGTGTGTGGAAAACAGAATACATTTATTTTTCAGTATTTGTTTTAAGAATAGATTAGAACAACATTATTTGAAATAGATATCGTTTGTAACATTATAAATGACTTTACTGTCTATCAATTTAATGCATTCTTGCTGAATAAAAATAATTTCTTTGAAAATAAAAATCTTCCTGTGCCCATATTTTTGAACATGTTACACTAACATTTGACTAGAAAGTGACCAAATTGTCAAATATTTATTGTTTTATCATTTCTAACTTTGTGAAATGTTGTTATGCCAAATTCAGTTAGATTTAGTACCAAGACTTGGCAGAGGAACACAGATGTAAATTATAGTCTACATTATCTGATGCTGTTGCTCATGTTGTAGAACTGCAGTGAAAGATTCCAGTACAAATACCAGCTGAGGTCACATATGAGCATCCATATCGGACACAAGCAGTTCATGTGCCAGTGGTGTGGGAAAGACTTCAACATGAAGCAGTACTTCGATGAACACATGAAGACCCACACTGGTGAGAATCACCACTTTGGTGCCCATCATAATCAAAATATGACTATTTTTATTATAAAAAATAGGATATAATAATAAATTCATATAAATATAATCAATATTTATTATTATAATATTATTTACTTGTAGTTAATATTTAATTATTTTAAATAAATCTAATATAATAATTAATAATGATAAATAATCATTTAATTTAAATATCATTAAAAAAAATTAAATGTTTAAAGGGATAGTTCACCCAACAGTGAAAATTCTGTCATTAATTACTCACCCTCATGTCGTTCCAAACCCGTAAGACCTTCATTCATCTTCAGAACACAAATGAAGATATTTTTGATGAAATCTGAGAGCTTTCTGACTCTGTATAGACAACAATGCAACTGACACATTCAACATTACAGTTGAACCACTGATGCCACATGGACTATTTTAACGATATCTTTACTACCTTTCTGGGCCTTGAATGTGTCAGTTGCATTGCTGTCTATGCAGGGTCAGAAAGCTCTCGGATTTCATTAAAATTATCTTAATTTGTGTTCTGAAGATGAATGAAGGTCTTACAGGTTTGGAACGACATGAGGGTGAGTGATTAATGACAGAATTTTTGTTTTTGGGTGAACTATCCCTTTAAAAAAAGCAAATAAAAATAATTAATATATTCTCAATCCAAGTTCTTCCATCTGTCTGTCTGTTCCAGGAGAGAAACCATATATCTGTGAGATCTGTGGAAAGAGCTTCACGAGCCGGCCCAACATGAAACGGCACCGCCGCACTCACACTGGCGAGAAGCCGTACCCCTGTGGCGTCTGTGGACAGCGTTTCCGCTTCTCCAATATGCTCAAAGCCCATAAGGAGAAGTGCTTCCAGGTCAGCAACCCCATGGTATCTGATTCCACCAACCTTGTGGACCTGGACCCTACGTCAACTGATATGGACACGCCGGCCAATCAGTTACCCAGCCACCCTGTAACCCCTCCCGGTGAGGCGTCCAGTCTCCACCAGGTCAAGTCGCTCTCGTTACCCTTCGTTCACTCTATTATAGGTCTTCCATCTCCCCCGGGCCTGTTTTCCACTGAAAGGGTTAACTCCGGTAACAACTAGTTTTGAATATAAGGTTGAAGTTATTTGGATTGTTTCTTGTCTGACACCCAAAGCTAGCAGTAGCTCCCCATGAGCTTTTTGATTCACATCCAATGTGAATCACTCTCATAGGAGTTTCCAAACATGCCGAGTGAGGTCTAAGACTTCCAGCGGATGTTTGAACAGTGTGTGACACTGAATATTCCTTTCAAACTGCAAAGTTTCACTTATCTTATTCTCATAGAGATATTTTATATACTGTTCAAATAAGCTTCTCGTATTACAGAAAGAAAACAAATGTTCTCATTATTTTTGTTGTTGTTTAATGCATTTTTTTGTGAGCTACAGGATTAGCATTTAGTATCGCATTTCCACATTTCACATGCTCTTGCCATAGACTTTAACGCTTTGCCAGTTTAGTCTAACAGGTTGAGGTTCTCATTAGCTGCCGTATGAAATATAGATACGCACTGAACTCACAGCAGAGGGCGCTGTGGGACATGAGCATTGCGAAGTTTCAGAGCAGCTCTTCAGCCAATAAACATGTAGCAGCTGTGTCCCTCTGCCATAACCAAATCCAGATGTATTGCAGTAACCAAATCCTGATAGCTTATATGTTCTTACTGAATATGAAATGTATAATCACTCCAGCACCTTATTTTTAATCGTAGATGTATTTATATTGTCCTGTCTTCTTCGTATCCTGAAAGTTTAAAGTTTTGCCACCTTTGTTCTTCTGCATGTTTGCAGAGGTTTGTTTTTTGAAGCGTCTGTGCAGGGCACAGGTGGGACGAATGGTTTGTGTCAAAGGTTATATGTAGCAGAGGCACTTGAGAATAATCAATGTTTGATGCTTGCTTAAAGGAGTACTTCACCCAAAAATGAAAATTTGCTGAGAATTTACTCACAATCAGGCCATCCAAGATGTAGATGATTTGGTTTTGGAGAAATGTAGCTTTACATCACTTGCTCACCAGTGGGTTCTCTGCAGTGAATGGGTGCCATCAATCCAAACAGCTGGTTAAAAACATCACAGTAATCCACAAGTTATCCACATGATTGCAGTCCATTAGTTAACGCCCTCTGAAGTGAAAACTGTGTGTTTGTAAAAAAGAAATCCATCATTAAAGCTTTTTAACTTTTAAATTGTTGCTTCTGGCCAAAATACCAGTCCATAATCCATAATAATACTTCCCCCAGTGAAAAAGCCCATCCCCTGTTGTCCTCACACACTAAATCCAACAACATATTTGTTTAGACCTCTTTTGGACTGTTTTAACTTGATCTGTGCATATTTCTCTCCTGATTCAGGTGAGATGGCGTTTTCGCTGGAGACATTAATATTAAGCATAGAGGACTCATATTTTAGCCAGACAAAAACTATTTGAAGTTAAAAAAATCTCTTGATGAATTTGTTTCTTACAACTATGCAGCTTTTCGCTTTACAAGACATTTTTATCAGCTGTTTGGAGTCTCATTCTGACAGCACCCATTCACTGCAGAGGATCCACTGGTGAGCGAGGGACGAAATGCAAAATTTCTTCAAATCTGTTCAGATGAAGAAACAAACTCATTTGCTTCCTGGATGGCCTGTGGCTGTGTAAATGTTTTGCAAATTTAAATTTTTTTGTGAACTGCTTTTTAAAGAAACTTCTTATTTTCAGAAAATCCCAAAGAAGGATGTTTCACTTTTTTTCCATTCTCTCTGTATTATTTAAAAATTTCCAGAGCACTTTACTCTCAGTGTTGGCCATATGTGTAATGGCAAAATCTGAAAGGCCTAAACCACTTGTGAAGAAATGAGTGTGAAAAGGAGTGTTTTTTATTTGCACGGAGGCTATATCAATTCTGGATGAACACCAGGGTGTGTTTGGTTCAAAAATATTTTTGTGTTGAATGTCTGAAATGCTTTTTAGTACATCGAGCAGGTTTATCAGCTTTTTTTTTTTATCAGTCATCATTAATGCTTTCACTTATTTTTTCCACTTTACACTATTTTATGATGGTTTTGAATGACAGTCGGCCTGAATAACTTGTGGAAAATGGTTACTTGTGGAAAATTGATTAGCTAAATGATGAAAATCATGTTTTTGTTTTGTGCCCTAAAAATGTAATTATGTAGCAAACTATTAGACTGGCCTTTTGGGACTCATATACACTGTAAGATGGTCCTGTTAAGAGGCCACATAGAATATAAAAAGAGTTTATAGAAAATTTGTAAAAAAAAAAGAAAAGAAAAAAATCCTTACCCAATGTCAGAGGATTATATAGGCAAAATATAGTTAAAGAAAACTCTCTAACAACTCTAGGAGCAGTAAAATGTAGTACTATAATAGGTACTGTATTATCCAATATATATATATTTAAATATATATATATATATATATATATATATACATACATACACACACATATATATGATATGTATAAATATACATAGTCTGTAAATAAATTCTATGTTTCCTGTCAGTTTTTGTTTAATCAGTTTTCTTTGTTTACATTCTTTATAGAGTCAAATGAATGTGATGAGATGTGGATGTCAGCATTCATGAAAGAACTTGCAAGATGGAAATAAGCTTATATATGAGGAATAAGCTCTAAATTTGACCTTACATCTTAAATCTTACCTTACATTGTTCTCAGTACATCAGTCATGTTCCTAGGTTAAGAAAACTCAGCTTAATGCAGGTTATGGCAAGTGTTTTTAAATGGTATGCGTTTCTTTAAGAAGTTTTTGAACGTCCCGGTAGAATGGTCAATTAAAGGGATAGTTCACCAAAATGTAAATTCTGTTACCATTTACTTATCCTCATATCATTTGAAACTCATATTAATTTATTTCTTCACAAACTGCTATTAATTATGGAAGAGCATTTCTGCCATGGAATAAAAAGCAGTTAAAGAGCAATAACCTTTTTTATCCTTTTATTCTGTGGTGGAAACAGGCTTCCATAATTAATAGCAGAATGTTTAAGTTGCTGCATAAGTAAATGATGACAGAATTTTAATTTTTGGCTACAGTATCCCTTTAAGGTTGGAATGTAATTGTGGAAGTTCTAGAATCATTATTAAAAAGCAGAGCTGATTGAACTGACATAACATAGTAATTTTTTAAGCAATAAGACCCACAGTAATTGTCCGTATTCTGCATTGATCGATATATTCATCTCTAACTGAAAGTCAGTTTGTCGGTCATAACCAGCTCAATGTAGAGGCACTATAACAAACCTGCCTTGAGTGTGTAATGGAATAGAGTTGCCATGATCATGAATGTGTAGATTGAAATTACGGTGGCATGATTGAAGTTAATGGTGAACTGAGCAGAGAGAGACCATCACCAGGAGAACTTTTTGTATTTGGTAGAAATCCTGCAATAATGTTATGCCAGATGATTGTTCAAGCCTTTTTGTGGTTTTGCCACGGATCGAACCCTGTTGTTGGTGTTCTTTACATGTTTTTCAATGTCATATTGCACCTTATACTAAAACACTGAGGATGCATGTTTTTTAAAGCCCCTGTTAATATATTTAAACATATTTCATCTCATTTTCTTTTCGATATATATTTAAATATTAAAAACTTCCCCCAAAGCATTTTCTAAGATGCATAATGGTCTTATCACAAGTTGAGTTACCACAGAATTCCTTTTTTACTTCATTTTTGTTCACTTTATTTAAATATTAAAATTGTGGTACAACACAAGTTTTGTTAAAAAAACATACTGCTGAAGGCTTTTTGTTATGCCCATTTTTTCTTAATTTCTCTTGCTTTCTTTCTTTGTTAAAATCTTATATTTTATGTGAAGTGAAATTGCACAGAGGTAAATAAACCTCCATCTAAGTAAAAGCCCATTGAAGAGCTGAATGATTTGATTTCGTGCATCTGAAAGAACATGTTTCTCTTACATGTTGTGAGGGAGAGTAAAAGGTGGACGTCTTTGAAACTTCTTTTTTGTATTTTGCATACTTTAACTAGCATGTATTCCTAGTTTGCTGCTTATTGAGAAAGATTTGGGATGTTTTTTTTTTTTAAATATGTATATTTAAGTGATTTTGGAAAGAAAGTAAGATTTATATTAAGAAGGATTTGTCTGTTATTTTAGTTTGTTCTGGTGTGTGCTATCCTTTGTAATAAATAATAAGTGATAGCGAAAAGATGATTTGCACTTCAGAGTTTGGGTAGTTTTTCTTATTGTCTGTTTAAGATTTTAAAGAAACCACTCACAATCTTGAAAAGACATTTTGAAACCAAATTCAAACATTTTTTTTTCTAAACACGTACATAACATGTAATACTTAAACTTACCCATACTTTCAATGTATTAAACCAATCATGAGTGTGACTGTTCCTACGATTTAATTCTATATGTCTTAGTTAAGTTTGTGTACATGCATTTGGCAGTCATGCTGGTTCTGTCAGCAGGATACTAAACAATACAAGGACTAGAGTCTAGCGGTGCTAATAAAATTAGGCTGTATTTTATGTCATTTATTGTACTGGGTAGTATTTATTGTCTGTAATAAAACAAAATAAAATAATTTCAATAGTGAACTAAATGAAACGTGACACCGAGCATTTGTGTTTTTACTTTACTTTGGGAGGTTTCTCATTCAGAACAACAGAAATGTCACATTAACAATACATTTTAAAAAGTACATGACACAAGACGCTCTGTCCATAATAAAATTGTTCAGAAACAGCATTTCCACAGCCTTATTTTCACAATATCTGTGCATGTTCTCACTGTTCCAAATCATAAAGTGTGTTGAATATCAAACTGATCACTTTCATGGAATGAGTTTGAGAATAGATGTTCTGTCCTCTTATGTTTCGTGCTGGTTCAGACTTGGTTTCACTTTGTCCCACACTATAATAACTGATTCAAAATCAGCAGAGAGTTTGTACTTCACTGGTGTAGTCTCACATTTTAGTGAGCCGAAGAGTGTTAAGACGAACTCCCAGAACTGTTGCACCAGATGCATATTGAATCTCTCTCAGTATGCTGTTCCATTTCCTCTCGCCCTCATCATACCTGTGAACAAACATTAACCTATTTATGTACATTTGAATTGTTGTAATCACATATATGTGGTCAGATTCACAATATATTGGTATCATTTCAGTTAAGGACAGATGCTGAGATTTTTTTATTTTTATTTATTGATTGATTTAATGACCCTCATGCCATCCAAGATACAGATTTTTGCCTCTGTAGTGAATGGGTGCCGTCAGAATGAGAGTTCAAACAGCTGATAAAAACATCACAATAATCCACAAGTAATTCACACAACATGACTTCTGGCCAAAAGTTCACAATCCATAATAACATTTCCTCCAGTAAAAAGTCACTTTAGTGTTTAGAAGTTTTTTAAGTGTTTAGAACTGTTTTGGACTGTTTTTGCTTGTAAACAGCACTTGATCCATGCACATTTCTCTCCTGATTCAGGTAATATTGCTTTTTGGATTTTAGCTGAAAGCTATTTGCATTTTTGAAGTTAAAAATGTCTTAACGATGGATTTGTTTCTTACAATCATGCAACTTTTCGCTTCACAAGATCTTAATTGATGGAATGAAGTGGTGTAGATTACTTGTGGATTATTGTGATGTTTTTATTAGCTGTTTGGACACTCATTCTGATGGCACCCATTGACTGCAGAGGATCCATCGGTGAGCAAGCAATGCAATGCTAAATGTAATGTTCCAAAGAATAAACAATATACATCTCGGATGGTCTGAAGGTAAGTACATTTTCAGAAAATATAAATTTTTGGATGAACTATTACTTTGATCAATTACTAAGTGGATGCTTCCCTTTGCATAGTTCCACTTAAAGACTGATTGGTGTAGTGAATGGGCGCCTCACCTCCAGATGTCGTTCATCATCTGTGGCATGAGATCATCGCCGTCCTCTTTGGGGAACATGGCAAATCCACCTGTAGCATAGAGGACTCCACCCACAGTGACCAAGCTAAGTGAACTGCGGTCCTGGGGAAACTCCACAAACTCTGACCACCTAGAAGATAGAGAGTGATGGGGTTAAATAATTGTTTATTGCAAGCTAATGCAATTATAATAGGTTTGTCCCACAAGTAAATGCATACCATAAACCTTAGGTAATGCTGCAGGTTGTTTAGCATATACTGTATGTGGCCACACTTGCTTGTTGGTTTTGATGTCATAGACCTCAGCGTTGCCTGTGAGGCCAGTGTCAGTCACACCAGCTGCCACGTAGATCTTGTTTTTGTGAATTGTGACCCCAAAGAGTGAGCGTGCAGTATTTAATGGAGCCAGGTCCTTCCACTGACGCTTTTTAGAGTCATACACACACACACTATTCAAACACTCTCTACAAATTAAGACAAATATGTGTATAAATGTGAGATACAGTGACAGCCTTTTTTACTGGCTATAATATTGAATGCATATTCCAACACAAAATGTAGAAATAGCTTATTAAACATGTTCTGTCCCTTTCCTCCAATTACATAGATCATTTCATTATGAGACACTACTCCATGGCCATATACTGGGTAGGGAAGAGGATCTGACTCAGCCCATTTAAGATACCTTAAAAAGCAAGGTTATTTAAGTACATAGTGAAAAAAAAATGAGTGCAGAAACAATTTTCACTAGTCAAGAAATTGCTAGTAAATTTCACAAATAATTACAGAAGAAATGGCAAGTAAAGCACTGAATTAAAATTTTGAAGTAGAAAGACTGAAATAGTATTTTCTTGTCAAATGTTTTCCAATAATCTTGAAATCATTTTCATAGTGTATCTGTTGGAAAGATTCAATTAACAAAAAAGACAAATGTATAGCTGATACTCAAATAATTAATGTGGCATCGGTAAACATACTTACTGTCTGTCATAAACCATGACTGTGTCCAGAATGCATTCCCCTTCCTTCATTTCTTTCCCTCCAATAACAAAGATGAAGTTTTCTGCCTCTCCCATGCCAAACAGGAAGCGGGGAGAGGGTATGGGGGGCATGCCCATCCAGTCTGATGTTGCAGGGTCAAACTGTCAGACGTAATGACAATATATCATCCACTGTGTTATATGGGACAGTCTACATGAGCATTTGCTGATAATTTAAAGGGAGGGTGTTTTGTGTGATAACCTGCTAAGAACTTATAGACAATGTTTTCTAATGGTTACTTTTAGCTTTTATTATTTTAGAACCATAAATTAACCTTCCCAGAATGTTCTGAGATGGTAGTGTCTATTCTATTATATGAAGTTCCAAACGTAGGTTTTCGGGAGGAGCCTAATCATTCGTTTCCTGTCAGTCATCATTATGAGCCTAATAAGCAGCAGTTATTGCGCCGTCCCAGTGACAATTATTCCACCATCCCTCCACCTCCCCATCTCCACCTCTATTTCTGTTATTCTCCCTTTATGTAGTACCACAATAGGGGAATCAAACTAGCAGCTCAAGCCGAGCCTCGGGTTTGAACCTCTGTTGAGGACAGCAAGCCAAGCTCGTTTACTAATAACTATTAAGACTGGATGGGCAGCCAAACTCGTGAAATGGTTCTATGTTATTGTATTCTTAAACACTGACTACATAAACTTTTAGAATACTTCAAATGAAAAATAAAGCATTACATTTAAAACATTGTCTATAAAATACTGGTGAAAACAAATTATAAAAAATATTGATGACTCATTCTGAACTACACACAAAAAAGAAATGTCTTCCCTGTGCTTTCAGTTTCACAGAAAATATGCCAAGTCATCCCCAACAAATGCAAAAAGTTCCCTTAACATTACGGTATAGTTCAAGTTTGGTTATTTCTTTGGGCACAGATTATTATCATTCTAGAAACATTGCTAAAACTATGCTAAATATCATGGTTTTTCAACAATAAGGAACAAGCCCATCCAAATATCCTGCCCAGACTCTGTTTCACAGAAAACCAGTGATTCCATGGGATCTTACTTTCACTAATATCTAATAAGTATATATAGCTGGGTAGAGACAAAAACACGTTGTCTATAATTTATGTACACTACATAAACTTCCCAATGTGCAGAATTAATGACTCTGAGAATATAATGAATGAAAAGCAAGTAAATTAAGGAAAGTAGTCCTTTACCTGCAAAAAGTATGAATAGATCTGTTCGTCTTTGCTCTGCTCATCAAAAAAGAGTCCACCTGCCACAAATATCTGACTTTCCTTTGTGACCAGACTGCAGTGGTTTTTGGGAATTTGGGTGGAGAGTGACGCCACATAACAATCATTTCCCGTTGGGTCATAAGCTACCGATGCAGTGTCATTGATCAAGAAGATTAAGTCTCTCAAGAACATCCCAAACCGCAGATTGTCATTCAAGATTCCTGGAAGTAGCTCCTCCTGCTCTTCTTCCTGCTCTTCATCTCCCTCCTTCTTTCCTTCCTGACCAGCACTCTTTTTTTCTTTTGTTCTTCTTGACTTCAGGAAGCTTCCCAGCATGGGCGTCTTTGACCAGTTGCAGTTTCTTGGTGATCTCTGGGTTTGAGCTCAACCATTCATGTTTCTCCACGTTTTTGGTGAAGTAGTCCTCGGGAACCAGACGTAATCTGACACAATCCAGCAGACCCGGTAGGTCCTCCAGCCTCTTCTCTTGGTCATGTCCAATCCACTTGATCAAAGCCTCAAAAACATCTTGCTCCGTTTCTACATTCAAAGAGTCCGATGCGATAATGGTTGCCAATTCACTTGGAGTCAGCTGCAGGAATTCTTCATCCCGAGCAATTAACTGGAAGCGTTCACAAGCGAAGTTCCTCGCCGATATGGCCAGACGAGGACAATCCAGCATCAGGCCTAGTCGAAAAATCGCCAAACAGTTGCTCAAACTCAGCCTCTTTTGCAGGAATGAGACACATACGGTGAAAATCGAGGGGATCTGAAGCATGTTGGCCAGAGCGAAGATGTCTTGTACGTTTTGCTCCGTCACATTGATGTTTGAGGTGTAGAGGTACTTCAAGATCATCCCCATGACTCCAGGCTCCACATCCTCCAATACAATCTTTTTTTGTGTACTCTCCTCCACACCTGACTTAAAGAAAGCTCTGAAGTACGAGCTGCAAGCAGCCAGGACCAACCGGTGGCAGGGAAACTCCTTGTCTTTGATCTTCAACACACAATCAACCATCATATCGCTCTCCAGAAGATCGTATAGACCATCCTGCAGCAGGGTTTGCTGGTACACCCGCGGCTCCTCCATGGGATCTATGGGTAGAGCCATATTGTTCGTGCAGTATCCCTGAGGGTCACAATGAAGTCAATGGCTAGTCCAGCCGTCTCTGTACCAAACTTCTGTTACTGGCTGAAAAAGAAGAGGCAGGGCTGAATCAGTTCCGCTTTGCTGTCGGGACTTCAGGCTTCATCAGCTGTCCCAATACTTCAACCAAACTCCAACTGGGGGCTATTTATAGGTCATGTGGAATCCATACTTGTACATGTGAAACACAACCCCCTGCCCTGTGCAACAGCTGACACACTTCCCCATGCGAGACAGTAGTCAGAAGAAACGCTGGCCTTCTGAATGAGATCACAGGCCACTACATAGTACATTTATGGGACTATGAATCACCCTCTTGACTTATTAATTTTTTAGACTATATTATTGATAAAAAAGACATTTCATAACAGATTATTATCTTGTAATATTGTTTAAAATACTTAATTCCATACCTTGTTACATTACAATGTAACGGTCATCTTGAAATAAAGTGCAACCAAATAAAATAAATATTACAAAGCATTGTGCTAGTTCTTCTATGTAGCCCCGCCCCTTTTGAGCTCTGCACTCATACTCTTCTTTCTTCCTTTTGTATTTCCAAAGCGTGAAGGTAAGGTCTTACGAATTTACCAATGAACCGCTCGTTTTAAAATCTTCCCCATCTACTGACATTTGTTATGACATCCGCTTCGTTCATTACAATGGCAAATGATAACTTTTGTTAACTCTACAGTAAGCGACCTCAAAAACGAAAGTTCGAAAACAATTCTAAAGATGGCTGCGCACCTGTTTTTCTGAGTCTGACGCACAAGGTCCATAAATTAAGCTGATATTTTAATATACTGGCTGAACTGCATTTTGTAACATAATAAATTACAAAGCAATATGATTTGAACTCGTGTAAATACTGTCCAGCATTAGCCTAAGCAAAGTTAGCAAGTCTCACGCAACGTGCAACATTCGTTTTGTTTGAAAACATGAAGGAAGTGGAATGTTTTACAACCGCTGATGAAAATTATATTAATTAAAGTATGAATAAATTATATGAATGTATCTCTGAAGGAAACCAACTGCCTTCAGAAGAGTTTCTATGGCCTTTTTTATTCATCTTACCTCCGTATACTGCCTAAAATATAGCAGTGTTTATAAGCAGCGCTGTTTTGTTTACAGCGGTTACCGGGGAAACAGCCCTATGCTGTTCAGTAAGCGCCACCACAGTTGGAGTTCTGTTTTCACTAGAATATCGCACCACTGAAAAAGGCTCTCAGCCAATGAGACTCAAGAACCAGAAAGAACATATATATATATATATATATATATATATATATATATATATATATAAATTTTGAACTACTTACAACTTCTTACATCCTTACAATAACAATTACATAAAATCTTCTGGATTTTAAAATGCATTTAAATCGCTCAAATATCACCAGTACTTCACCTTTCAGTAACAGTCTCTTGGCAACTAGGTTGGCAAATTCAAGACTGTTCAGGGCCAGGACATTGTAAAGGACAATTTTCCAGAAGTTGAAGGTATTAAACACAGCCCTGATCCTGCGTGACATAGATTCTGATATCGCCATCTGTGGGTGGAAGGAAAGATTTCTAGATGAGATTATTGATTATATTACCAGCAATTTGACATTTAACCAATAGAGAGCGCTCTAGAGAACATTTTTAGCAGCAGTAATTTAACATTTAACCAGTAGAGAGTGCACTGGAGCATCCATGTTACAGTACATGAGTAGAAAATCCAGCAAATTATTGCTGGTCATCTTTCTTTAACTTACCTCAATAGAAATAAAAGGTTCCATGGTGAAGAACTTGGCGGTCCACAATTCAAAATTACGGCCAAAGCAGTTTAAGAAAGCCCAGATGAAAACCACCCAGCCTGGTCCCAGCCAGAGCGCTGTGATGCCAAACGTGCACAGAGAGGCTATCAGCTCATCCAAAACATTGTCATGCTTCCCACCGAGATAGTTATAAACATACCTGTAAAGATGACAGCATTCTTTGTTAAAATACTAGTGCTTGAAACAGCATTGTGTTGGTTAAAAGTCTAATAAAAGTAACCATGTCAGTCATACTTGCAGAGAAAATCATTTATTCCTCGATCAAAGTGTCTGTAAAAAAAAACATTTTTTTTTAATTATTTTTAGAATTATCAATACTGTTTAATTTGACTGATTACATCAAAATCTATTTTATTACAACTTTTAGAATAAAGAAACAAGAAAACATAGAATGACAAATTAGCTCACTCACGTCTCAGAGAACACATAAAGCATTGTAATGCATTTTGGTGGTTTGGGAGGGTCCAGATGATCCAGTCTTGATATTGTGTTTATCACTCCAAACATCACTGCTGCTTTCACCCAATCATACACCAGATTTAAATAAGCCAATCCAACTGCATGGTCAAAGAAGAGAAAGACTATTGTAGTCTTTTGACATTGATTAGCGAATACAAGTAAACGCATACATACCAAGGGCCCAGTCTGAGATATTTTTAAGGAGCTTCATGTCACTAGGTATGGTCAGAATGTACATGAAGTGTAGAAGGGCTGCCACTATCATAATAACCCCCAGGTGTAGCAGGCCCTGAAGGGAAATGTTCCACATCTCTCCATCCTTCCTTGTCAGGTTGGGGTTATTGGCCTGATTATATGGTCAGAGGGCAATGCTATAAAATCACAGTCCATATAATCAAACCACAATTTCATTCAGTTCATTTAGTTACGAACCTGAATGTAGAACTTGTCGAAGGTCATGATGGGTCCAAAGTAAAAGAAGGGAAGGTAAAAGTTGTACTTGAGAAGCTCCAGAATGCTGTAGTTTCCATCTTTCTTCTCACAGTTCTCCAGAGCGAAACTCATAGAGCGCATGATGGTGAATCCACAGCCGCCGTAGAACAGAAGAGGACGCAGCTCAAAATTGCCAGTCACAAACCCTGCCTGAAAGATGAGCCATCACAAATGAACATAATCATAAATAGTTATTACATATATGAAAATCATGTTTTTTGTTGTTGTTGTTGTTTTGTTTTACTGTAGCACTTTTTACATTTTAAAAATGTAGAGTGTCAGACACATACCTGCCAGGAAATGAAGGGCTCCATTTTAAAAGTGGCCAGTGTAGTGAGTCCAGCAATGAAGCAGAGCCACCTGAGCTTGACCAGAGAGATGCTATAGAGCAGCACACAGTGAGAGAGGATGAGCATGACGTAGGCCCAGCCCATACTGGTGAAAACCGCCAGCATACCATACACCATGAACACCAGAGATCTGTACTGTGGGATGAGAGAACATGAGAGAATGAGCATCTCAGGTAGGCCATATAGAGTCATACCTTTATTCATTAAGTCACATATAATATAGATTTGTTTGGACTTTCAAGAGGCACCTGCAGAGCCAGCAACGAGCAGATCTTGGCAAAGATCACATGACCTGAGAGTGCAAAGATGATATGCTCTCGAAACGTAGAGAACCACATCATCCACTCAACATCAGCCGTATCCTACAGTGTGATATGGATCGATCAGAGTCAATTACCACAATTTTAGATATAACCATAATGTGAAATTATACTGACAAAATCTCACCATTTTTCTGCCAGAGTAATACCATCCTGGCTGAACACTGGTCTTGAAGGTTAACTTACCTCAATAGAAATAAAAGGTTCCATGGTGAAGAACTTGGCGGTCCACAATTCAAAATTACGGCCAAAGCAGTTTAAGAAAGCCCAGATGAAAACCACCCAGCCTGGTCCCAGCCAGAGCGCTGTGATGCCAAACGTGCACAGAGAGGCTATCAGCTCATCCAAAACATTGTCATGCTTCCCACCGAGATAGTTATAAACATACCTGTAAAGATGACAGCATTCTTTGTTAAAATACTAGTGCTTGAAACAGCATTGTGTTGGTTAAAAGTCTAATAAAAGTAACCATGTCAGTCATACTTGCAGAGAAAATCATTTATTCCTCGATCAAAGTGTCTGTAAAAAAAAACATTTTTTTTTAATTATTTTTAGAATTATCAATACTGTTTAATTTGACTGATTACATCAAAATCTATTTTATTACAACTTTTAGAATAAAGAAACAAGAAAACATAGAATGACAAATTAGCTCACTCACGTCTCAGAGAACACATAAAGCATTGTAATGCATTTTGGTGGTTTGGGAGGGTCCAGATGATCCAGTCTTGATATTGTGTTTATCACTCCAAACATCACTGCTGCTTTCACCCAATCATACACCAGATTTAAATAAGCCAATCCAACTGCATGGTCAAAGAAGAGAAAGACTATTGTAGTCTTTTGACATTGATTAGCGAATACAAGTAAACGCATACATACCAAGGGCCCAGTCTGAGATATTTTTAAGGAGCTTCATGTCACTAGGTATGGTCAGAATGTACATGAAGTGTAGAAGGGCTGCCACTATCATAATAACCCCCAGGTGTAGCAGGCCCTGAAGGGAAATGTTCCACATCTCTCCATCCTTCCTTGTCAGGTTGGGGTTATTGGCCTGATTATATGGTCAGAGGGCAATGCTATAAAATCACAGTCCATATAATCAAACCACAATTTCATTCAGTTCATTTAGTTACGAACCTGAATGTAGAACTTGTCGAAGGTCATGATGGGTCCAAAGTAAAAGAAGGGAAGGTAAAAGTTGTACTTGAGAAGCTCCAGAATGCTGTAGTTTCCATCTTTCTTCTCACAGTTCTCCAGAGCGAAACTCATAGAGCGCATGATGGTGAATCCACAGCCGCCGTAGAACAGAAGAGGACGCAGCTCAAAATTGCCAGTCACAAACCCTGCCTGAAAGATGAGCCATCACAAATGAACATAATCATAAATAGTTATTACATATATGAAAATCATGTTTTTTGTTGTTGTTGTTGTTTTGTTTTACTGTAGCACTTTTTACATTTTAAAAATGTAGAGTGTCAGACACATACCTGCCAGGAAATGAAGGGCTCCATTTTAAAAGTGGCCAGTGTAGTGAGTCCAGCAATGAAGCAGAGCCACCTGAGCTTGACCAGAGAGATGCTATAGAGCAGCACACAGTGAGAGAGGATGAGCATGACGTAGGCCCAGCCCATACTGGTGAAAACCGCCAGCATACCATACACCATGAACACCAGAGATCTGTACTGTGGGATGAGAGAACATGAGAGAATGAGCATCTCAGGTAGGCCATATAGAGTTATACCTTTATTCATTAAGTCACATATAATATAGATTTGTTTGGACTTTCAAGAGGCACCTGCAGAGCCAGCAACGAGCAGATCTTGGCAAAGATCACATGACCTGAGAGTGCAAAGATGATATGCTCTCGAAACGTAGAGAACCACATCATCCACTCAACATCAGCCGTATCCTACAGTGTGATATGGATCGATCAGAGTCAATTACCACAATTTTAGATATAACCATAATGTGAAATTATACTGACAAAATCTCACCATTTTTCTGCCAGAGTAATACCATCCTGGCTGAACACTGGTCTTGAAGGTTTTTCTGTTGGAATTTGCTGGATATAGATAATCATGAGACAATTAATGCTCTATTCATTAATAAATATGATCAAATTTATTCATTCAAAGCAGGTACCCCAAACTAGGATTCATGAGGAAATTAGAAGTGCAAAGATGATATGCTCTCGAAACGTAGAGAACCACATCATCCACTCAACATCAGCCGTATCCTACAGTGTGATATGGATCGATCAGAGTCAATTACCACAATTTTAGATATAACCATAATGTGAAATTATACTGACAAAATCTCACCATTTTTCTGCCAGAGTAATACCATCCTGGCTGAACACTGGTCTTGAAGGTTTTTCTGTTGGAATTTACTGGATATAGATAATCATGAGACAATTAATGCTCTATTCATTAATAAATATGATCAAATTTATTCATTTAAAGCAGGTTCCCCAAAATTATTTTTAGAATTATCAATACTGTTTAATTTGACTGATTACATCAAAATCTATTTTATTACAACTTTTAGAATAAAGAAACAAGAAAACATAGAATGACAAATTAGCTCACTCACGTCTCAGAGAACACATAAAGCATTGTAATGCATTTTGGTGGTTTGGGAGGGTCCAGATGATCCAGTCTTGATATTGTGTTTATCACTCCAAACATCACTGCTGCTTTCACCCAATCATACACCAGATTTAAATAAGCCAATCCAACTGCATGGTCAAAGAAGAGAAAGACTATTGTAGTCTTTTGACATTGATTAGCGAATACAAGTAAACGCATACATACCAAGGGCCCAGTCTGAGATATTTTTAAGGAGCTTCATGTCACTAGGTATGGTCAGAATGTACATGAAGTGTAGAAGGGCTGCCACTATCATAATAACCCCCAGGTGTAGCAGGCCCTGAAGGGAAATGTTCCACATCTCTCCATCCTTCCTTGTCAGGTTGGGGTTATTGGCCTGATTATATGGTCAGAGGGCAATGCTATAAAATCACAGTCCATATAATCAAACCACAATTTCATTCAGTTCATTTAGTTACGAACCTGAATGTAGAACTTGTCGAAGGTCATGATGGGTCCAAAGTAAAAGAAGGGAAGGTAAAAGTTGTACTTGAGAAGCTCCAGAATGCTGTAGTTTCCATCTTTCTTCTCACAGTTCTCCAGAGCGAAACTCATAGAGCGCATGATGGTGAATCCACAGCCGCCGTAGAACAGAAGAGGACGCAGCTCAAAATTGCCAGTCACAAACCCTGCCTGAAAGATGAGCCATCACAAATGAACATAATCATAAATAGTTATTACATATATGAAAATCATGTTTTTTGTTGTTGTTGTTGTTTTGTTTTACTGTAGCATTTTAAAAATTTTAAAAATGTAGAGTGTCAGACACATACCTGCCAGGAAATGAAGGGCTCCATTTTAAAAGTGGCCAGTGTAGTGAGTCCAGCAATGAAGCAGAGCCACCTGAGCTTGACCAGAGAGATGCTATAGAGCAGCACACAGTGAGAGAGGATGAGCATGACGTAGGCCCAGCCCATACTGGTGAAAACCGCCAGCATACCATACACCATGAACACCAGAGATCTGTACTGTGGGATGAGAGAACATGAGAGAATGAGCATCTCAGGTAGGCCATATAGAGTCATATCATTAAGCATTAAGTCACATATAATATAGATTTGTTTGGACTTTCAAGAGGCACCTGCAGAGCCAGCAGATCTTGGCTCTTGGCAAAGATCACATGACCTGAGAGTGCAAAGATGATATGCTCTCGAAACGTAGAGAACCACATCATCCACTCAACATCAGCCGTATCCTACAGTGTGATATGGATCGATCAGAGTCAATTACCACAATTTTAGATATAACCATAATGTGAAATTATACTGACAAAATCTCACCATTTTTCTGCCAGAGTAATACCATCCTGGCTGAACACTGGTCTTGAAGGTTTTTCTGTTGGAATTTACTGGATATAGATAATCATGAGACAATTAATGCTCTATTCATTAATAAATATGATCAAATTTATTCATTTAAAGCAGGTTCCCCAAACTAGGGTTCATGAGGAAATTAGAAAACGAAAGCTAATAATTAAATCATAAAAATGTAAAACAAATTAATAATTGCAAAATAAACTAACACAAAATAAAGCATTTACTAAAAATGAGTGCTGTCAAATGATTAATCGTGATTAATCGCATCCAAAATAAAAGTTGTTATTTACATAATATATGAGTGTGTACTGTGTATATTTATTGGGTATATATAAATAGACTCACATGCATGAATATATTTAAGAAAAAAAATTAAGTTTAAATTTAAATTGAATATAAATTATATGAATATAAATATATACATGTAAATATTTTCGAAATATATACTGTATGTGTGTATTTATATGTACGTAATAAATATACACAGCGCACACACACACACATATATTATGTAAACAAAAACTTTTATTTTGGATGTGATTAATCGTTTGACAGCACTAATTAAAATATATTTAAAAAGATGAAATATTTTACATAACCGTGAACATTCCAACCTGTTGTTAAATTATTTCAATATTAACTTAAAATCTTCAATAAATATTTTAATTAATAGATGTGTATATTATATGGATAAAATACAAAAAAAAACTGTATATTCAATTATTACTGTATATTCAATGCAAATTTGGTAGCTTTTGTCACAAACCCATAATAATACCTCTTTCTCTTCTCTGTCACTCTGTTTCAGTCATTCATTCTTTGGTGTATTAATACTGACATATGATCCCTGCTGCGTACTTTGCATAGCTTTCTGAGGTTAGCGGATCACTGCGCTGTCTTTTTCCTCATACAATATACAGTAGTACTATTTTTGTGCTCTAATGCGATGTTTATGAGTGAGAAAAAGAGCTCAAGTGGATGTAAAATGGTAAAAGCCTCACAGGAACCACTCTAGAAACATTATCTGTACAGTGACAACATTTCAGGGTCACATCAGAACAGTGTGCATGTGTTGATTTATACTTACAGCTGGATACATCAAATATCCATCTGGCAGCCCAGAGCATTGCCATACACAGCACTACATTATAACAGCAGAGCTCGTACCTCGGAAGAGCTGCTTTGACCCCCATTGTGTGCAGGACAACCTAAGAGAGTTTGAATGAATACAAATCTGGTGTCAAATTTGGTCATTAAATTATTTTTCAATCAAGACAGCCAATGAACGATTAGGATCCTGCTAAAAATACAACTTGGTAATGGATAAACTACAATGGGATGAAAGCAATATTGTAGTGTTACTGTAGCTCAACTTGTAGAACATGGCGCTAGCAACACCAAGGTCATAGGTTCGCTTCCAAGGCAGCAAAGGAACTGAGAAAATGTATGCTGTAAATGTATTCTAAGCCTCTTTGGATAAAGAGTTAAATTGCATTAATAAAAATGGCACCAGTCATTACAATAGGAATTATATGTTTGACACTTTCTAACAAAAAAAAATAAATAGATGAACTGAAAACAATTTGAACTTTGTGGGCAGGGCAGAAGTTTCCAATGATTTAGATTGTGTGAGCAGGAAGCATCTACACTATGTGAGCTCTTGCTATTTTTAGCTGGGCTATTTTCTGCTTTCATTGTATTGACTGAAGCATCACACTAAAATATCATTTTTACATTACAGCCAAATCTTTTATCTTTTTTAACCAGCAGATGATTCTTTTGTCTGTTTCTCTTCTCAGGTGATTTAAAGGTGTGTAGTCAAACACTAATCTGGTCTGCATTATTGTGACGTTTGTTATTGAGAGAGGAACCATGCAGGTAAGTTACCAGCTTATTAGTTCAACTATTTTGATCAATATTTGATTTAAATGTTAGCGAATCATGCTGCCAAGCAGATTTTAGAAACACCTGTTGTACTAACCTTGAGCACAGCAATGCCACCGTAACCCAAATACTGAAAAATCCACTTGAACTTAAAATACTGGCAATAATGTAAAGAAAAGATCAGGTAAATAACAGGTTTCTACAAAGTGTCAGTTGGGTGCACAAACTGCCTGTTGGGCAGTTGCGGACAGTTAAAGGTGAATGGGAGATGTATTTATATTCATCTGAAGCAGCCCATAGGGGGCGGATCCATTGTGCCATGTTGTATCAATAGAAACAGGCTTGAAACTCCATTGCTTGCATACTGAATGTGCTACATACGAAATAGAAGAAGGGTTAGAACAAAAAGGGTAAATGTAAAAATACGAATCAATAATAAAACAAAATCAAATAAAAATATAAAAAATTAAAACACTTACCTGAGAAAGTAGTATAATGTGCTTACTTAGAAGAAAAAACATTGGTTGAGAAAGGGGAGAAAGCATCGAAAGAGACATGTGTCACCAAGATGAGAGGCAGCTATTTTCTATTATCCACATACAAAAAAAAAAAACCCTTAGAGAGGTCAGGGGTCATTGAGAGCAGGCATGTTAAATAATACTGGTAGTCCAGTCTATGAGATAAGCCATGAGATAATACAAGCTATATAAAGATCTTGGACAAATCTCTGTGGGTACAGTATCGTTTATAAGTGCTTTTACTGTAATAATATGCAGTTGTGTTACTCAGATGCCAACACAGAATCCACTTATCAGTACATTATATGTATTTTAGGCCATTAGCTCTTTAGCAGCCTTTAAGAAAAGCCAGGAGCCCTGGCATACATTCACACTCTACCACACCTGTTTCTGTCAGGATCAATGCTGTTTTTGGATGACAATTTAGACTGGGGCACCATTTTCTAACCTGAATAAACACCCCTCAAAAATACAAGAAAACAATTCATATTAGCAAAATGTCCAGTTCTAAATGAAGCCACTGTCTATGCATACCATATTAAAAATACCTGAAATACTGTATTTAGCCTTGATGATTTGAATTAGTAAGTCCTGACAGATCAGCAGTTTAGTTTGTCAGCAGAACAATGTCAGAAAGGAAAAATTGAAATCGCATCATATGACCCCTTTAATATTCCGGGCTTAAATATTATTAGCATGTCTGAATATAGATCAGCCCCTCTAGGTCAATCCTCATCAACAAGCTTTGACCTGAGAACCATTAAAATCATTAACTGTTAAAATAGTGGTTCTCAAAAAGAGGGCCGGGGCACACTAGGGGGTGTTAGCGATCTTCAAAGGCGGCCTCAAGATGACAAAAAAGTACACTGTAAAAAATTATTTGTTGTAAATACAAAATTGAAGTTGTAAATAAAACAAAGATTATTAGAGTGCATTTTACAAGAAAATACTATTTAAGCCTTTCTACGTCAAAATTTCAAGTTTAATTAATTGTGCTACTTTCCAATTTGTAATGAATTTACTAGCAATTTAAAATTGTTTCCAAACCAAATTGTTTTTCAGTGTATTCAATTTTTTTTTTTTAAATATTAAAAAATAGTCAAACTTTAATATAAAGTGCTAACAAAATCCCTTGCAAATCAATATCGAAATCAAAATTTATTTCTATTAAAATACTAATAAATTAAATACCCCACACACTATTTTTTTTTTTTAATTAAGAACATAGTTCTTGAAACTTAATGCACAAAAATAATTAGTTAATTAATATATCAATGCTCCCGGTTTCTGTTAATAAAAACATTTAAAAACTAGCCTATAATAGTCTGAATTGGGGAGGCTTTGAATATTGTCTTGAGCCCAGTTTCCACCGCAGGAACTTTACCCAGGAACTAGGGACTTTGGGCTGGTACTCGGTGTGTTTCCACCACAGGAAAGTTCCGGGTAAAAAATTGCCCCTCAGAAAGTCCCTGCTCGCGAGGTAGTACTTTTTCAAAGGTTTTCAAAAAC